AAAAAAAAGAACTGGGAATTGAACTCAGGACCTCACGCTTGCCAGGCAGGTGTTGTGCTGCTGAGCTAAATTCCTGGTCCAGACTTCTTTTATAGACTCTGGAGTCTAAAGATTGTTAAACTATCATACATGGTGTTGTCTAAGGTCAAACCTAAAATGGTAGGGAGATACTGAAATGGTACGTGACAACAGTGCTTAGTCTTCTCTACAGGATTCTAAAGAAAAGCACCAGGGACAAAATATATTAGTGCTCGCTCTTGGGTGCATGCATCTCTCTCATATATATATATTAGCTCTCTCCCTATTAGCTCTTCCTCTCCCCTCCTCTCTCTTCCCCTCCCCTCCTCTCTCTCTCTCTCTCTCTCTCTCTCTCTCTCTCTCTCTCTGAAACATTTCTTTTGGCTTAACAGCTTCAAGTTTCTGCCTCAATCTTAAAGTCAACTATATTACTCAACATCATTAGAACATTAAGAAAAGCTCTAGGTTATTTTATAAGTTAAATGAACCTAGTAATTTATCTATAAACATAATAATAGAGTAAGTAGAAATTCACTCCGGTATGAGTTTTTTAAATTTGAGAACTAATTGAATTAAAATCTTATTTTCAGGCCAGGGAGATAGCTCAGTGGCTTAAGTGCCTGCCTGGTACAAAAAAAAAAAAAAAAAAAAAAATTAAAAAAAATCTTATTTTCATTTAAGAATGAAAGATTTATAAATTTTGTTCTAATTCTCCTGGAGAAATTATGAAATAAGAAGATAAAAATTTACACAACAATGAATAGTCATGGCTCCAAATAATAAGAAAAAGTTTAGTAATCTGCTATCTAAATCACCCATATCACAAACAGGTATTTTTTACCCCCTCCCACTCATGTCCTCAACAAACACGCACTCAGTACCACTGTCTGGCTGTCATCCGAACACTTCCAATCTGTATCCCATCCCTAGAATTGGGAATATGGCAAGAACTTCAGACTTCTACAAAGTATCCAAAGTGTAAGAAAAAAGATCAATCTATCCTTAGAAGAATTATAAACATTAAGTACTTACTTAAATGTGGCCACTTTGTTTATGACATTCTCTAAGCCAGTTTCATTATTTTCCTGTTGAAACAATATTTTTAGCATTTTTATCTTCATGTATTAAAATACTTTTTTTTGAGACAAGGTTTCACTATGTAGTTTAGGCTAGTTTTGAACCCACTTTGTAGCTCAAACTGGCCTTAAACTTGTGGCAATCCTCCTGCCTCAGCCTCCCCAGAGCTGGGATTACAGGTTTGTACCACCATGCCCAGCTAAAATACATTTATAACTGCATTTTGAAAGTACCTCACAAATAAAAATTACAAAATCAATTTTCAGTATAAAACATTACATCTAACAATAATTAATTAGCTGTGTTTGGTGGACTTATTTCTTAGAAGTTAAGATCTAGGTATAAATTACATAAGGAAGAAATGATGTTTGACTTCAACCTCCACAATATGCATCCCTGTGTGTATATGCATGTGTGCACGTGCACACACACAGAAATATACACACACCCACTGCCAACAGTTCAAAGAAGAAAAACATTGCTTATGTAGTGCTGTCATTACCCACATTTGGGGACATGCTCATGCTTTTACTAATCTCTAAATCCAAGGTAACCATGATAAATGGGACCCAATTCAAATTCTCTATCACAATATGTGTATAGATATCCAGATGTATTCTGTAATTATAATAGGTTTTTTTTTGGTTGGCCTAAACATTTCCTTGAAAACAAAACACTATTTTTTCATAGTTCAGGATAAGGCCTAGTGAAGTTACTACAAGTTTATAGATATTGCTTATAAATACCTATAATCTCGTAAAAACCTAGGAAATTTAATCACTTATCTTTTATATTTTATTTATTCAGTTTTAAAAAAATTATCTCAAAATTTATTTTTTAAATTATTATTATTATGATGATAATGATTGACAGGATCTCACTACGAGGTGTAGACTGTCCTCAAAATCAGTGCTGCCTCAGCCTCCTAAGTGTTGCGATTACAGGCATGGACCACCATGCCCGGCTTATTTTTTATTGCAAACTAGGTTGGCTTTAATCTCCTAGGCTCAAAGTCATCCTCCTGTCTCAGCTGGCCAAGTAGCAGAGACTACAGGGGCATGCTATTCTGTCCAACTCAACCTCTTTTGTAAAGAAAATGAATTTCAGAAAAAGTAGCAACAAAATGTTTGAAAACTTTTTTTCAAAGTATGGTATATGTATCACAAGTAATACATGAAATTATTTAGATATCACATAGTTATATATTATTAAAACTTTTAAATACATATCAGGGGGCTGAGGATATAGCTCAGGGCACAAGTGCCTGCCTGGCAAGCACAAGGTCCTGAATTTGATTCTTGGTGTGCCCCCTACCCAAATATATCAGGGGAAAATGACATCGAACATCAAACTTACCATCCCATGGAAATTATTGCTTAGAAAGATGCTACGGGAAACTGTAAGCTGACATTTAAAAGATATTAATCACAGAATTGGTAGATGGACATTCAAAAATTTTGAGGTGATATGGCAAATAAATATCATGAGAATCATTAAGCAGTAAAACTGGAAACAGATACATATAATTTGGGCAGGGCAAGAGGGAAAAGACCAGTGGTAACAGGTTATCATTCTTGCACCTCTTTTGAAAACTTTGATGGCAAAGATAACCATAATTCTCTTTTTAAGAATCATTGTTCTGGGGTTAGCTCAGTCGTGCTTGCTCGGGCAAACCTGTCAGGTGCAGGGGACCGCGGTTCGATCCCCAGGTCCATGTACCTTACTAGACCTGCTCCTAAGGCAGCCTGAGCCATTAAAAAAAAAAAAAAAAGAAAGAAAAAGAAATCACTGCTCTAACTCATACTCAAATCTTAAAAGGAGAAAGGAGAAAAATGTGACAATCAGATTCTTTAGGGATATTATGTTAATTTCTATACATACATATATAAACACCACCTGCTGTGGCTATAAAACACTGTACCTAGCAGAGGAAGCATAAATGTTCTGTTGACAAGAAGCATACAGGGCCACAGGACTCAACTGTTGTACCCTGGACACACTCAGGCCAAGCTTCCCATAGATGTCCCTGACAAGGAGTAAGGTAGAAATACCAAGATAGCAAGGCCTGCTCTGGGAGACTCAGGAAGGCGCCAATGGCCAAGTGCCAAGCCCAAGAGAAGGAGGCTTTTTAAAAAATATAATATACAATATTGTGCATATTTATGAGGCATAGCACAGCAACTCAGTATATTCACACAATGTGCAATGATCAGATCAGGATAATTCGCATTTCTAAACTCAAAAATTTGTAATTTATATGTGTTGGGAATCTTTGGGCTCTTTTCCTAGTTATTTTTAAGTATACTATAAATCACTGTACAGTTACCAGTAGTCCGTTGTGGTACAGAACACTAGAACTAGCTCCTGCTATCTACCTGCACATGTTTTTTTCTTTTTTTAAATCTATTTGGTATAGGGTCTCACTCCGCAGCTCGTACTTGTAATGATCCTCCTGTTTTCAGCCTCTAGAGTGCTGGGATTACAGGCATGTGCCACCATGACTGGTCTCAGTGGCTCAGTGCGCCAGGGGGTGGGGCTGGTGCAGCACGTGGTGCCAGGGATGGAATCTACCTATACACTTTGGTACCTGTCACCTAATCTCTAGCTATCTGGCCACAGCTGCTTTTGTCACTAGGGACCACTACTATATTCTTCTATGAGACGATTTTTTCTATAGAACACTTCTATTTGATATGCTTCCTATTTTCTTTGGCAGAATCAGATCTGCACAATTCTCTGGTGGCTCTCCCAGCCCTGCCCAGTTCTCTCAGACTTACCTTTCTTCCAATCTTTCTCTCTCTTCCTTCTTTTCTTTTTGTCCTTTCTGTTTTTATGAAACAGGGTCTCACTATGTAATTCAGACTGGCCTTGAAGTCTCTATGTAGCCCAGGCAGGTTTGAAACTCTTGGCAATCCTCCTGCCTTGGCCTCCGAAGTGCTGGGATGACAAGAATGTACCACTACACCCAGCTTCTTCATATACAAAGCCTTAATGTTTTATTTATTTGGTATTGGGTCTCACTACACAGCTCAGACTCATAGTGATCCTCCTGTCTCAGCTTCCCAGTGCTGGGATTATAGGCATGTGCCACCATGCCCGGTTTCAGTGGCCAGCACAGCACAGGGCTGGCACAGCATGTGGTACTGGGGATCAAACTCAGGTCCTTGTGCTTTCAGGCAGGCTCTTAGACCACTGAGCTATCTCCCTGGCCCTGAAATACTACTTAAAGTAAGCAAAAAGTCATTCACACCACTAAGAGATGAGATAAAAATATGTTACCTTTTGCTCAAAATATTCTGAAAATTGAAGAAGCTTCCAATTAAACAGAAAACAAGCTATGCCATCTTAAGGTGAATCAAGAAAAAATAAAGATAGACTTACATTCTCGGGCAAATTTTTGGCAATAGCACTGTGTGGCATGGGTTCAATGCAAAGTAAGTGAATGATTTCTCTCATGGTGACCTCCTCTTTGGTCACATTTCCCACTCCAGGTACATACCGCTCTCCTAATATAATGAAAAGAATAAGTAGAACAATGAAGTCCCAGCTCTAAACAAGAGTTTACAGAAAGACAAACAGAAACACTGCATAACCTGTAGGAGTATCTAGGCATCTTAGGTACACACACACACACACACACACACACACACACACACAGAGTAAACAAGGTAGATGGCATATGAATGAGCACAGGCCATCACTGAATAGATTTTCTTTCCAAGTCTTCCTTACTATTTTCTCTGCTGGCCAGGCATGGCAGGACGTGCATGTAGTCCCACCACATGGCAGGCTGAGGCAGGAAGACTGTTGTAAGTTTGAGGGTAGCATGGATTACATAGTGAATTTCAGACCCTGTCTCAAAAAAAAAGCAAACAAACGAAAAACAAAAGAGTCTGAGTTCAATCTCCAGTTCTGCAAAAAAGAAAAAGAAATACCTGTCTGTATTTGTGATGAGACTCCAGACAAAGGCATATTTAAAGTAAATGTGATAAAAAGAAAAAAAAACCAAAAAAAAAAAAGGCTTTCTGAACAACAGTTTAGCATTCCTGGAACACAAGATTAGGGTTTAAAGTAGAATCTGCAGGACTATAGTCAACAGAATTAAAAACAGTTTGTTCTCAGAGATGTTTGCTTTGGACATTGTGTCCCCTGTACCCTGACAAAATTGCTTTAGCTAGGTCAAGATGTTTCATGTACCAAATCATTCGGTACCAAACCATCCCATTCTGACCTGTCTCCTATACAACAGGTTCTAAATGCCTTTCCTCCACATCTTTGTTCTCATGTCCTTGAGTTACAAATAACCACAGAGCTATCAGCTCGTCGCTGCTTCTGAAGCTCCTACACTAAAGCAGCAGCTCCTCTGGGCTCCCTCAGTGACTGAACTAAAGTCTTGTTTCCTTTCTGTCCTTACATAGTTTTGGCTGCACACTCATATAGTTATTTAAGAACCAGCAAAGTGAAGACTAAAAACCAAGGGCCAGCCAAATAGCTCAGTGGATTAAAGGGCGGGCTGGTGGTTCAATCCCTGGGCCTGGCATACAGGTCCTGCTCCCTCCCCCCGCCCCCCCCCCCAGGGTGTGCTGAGACTGCAACTGAGACTGGGCATGGTGGCATGCACCTGTAATCCCAGCTCTTGGAAGGCTGTATACAGGCGGATCACTATGAGTCTGATTTAGTAATGAGATACTGAACACCCTGTAGACCCTTCCCTAAAATACAAAACAAACAAAAAACCCAAAATACTTAAATATGTCTTTATAGGTCAAATGAAAAAAACAGTAATATGATTTTTTTTGTGTGGTACCTCAGGACCTCATGCTTAACAGACATAGCATAACAACTCAGTACATTCATACATTGCAAGACCCTGTCTTAAATACACAAACTAACAAAATGATCATGTAGATTTCGTCCATATTCCAAAAATTAAGAATCTAAGGGTCAAACAATATGAGTGACAGTTGATAGCAAGGCCAAGTTAGAGCTGGTGATTCCTAATCCAAATATTTTGCTATTTGTTGTTTTTGTTCTTTTTTTTTTTTTTTTTTTTGCAGAACTGGGGATTGAACTTAGATCTTGGCACTTGCCAGGAAACACTTATTCCACTGAGCCATCTCCGGCCCCTTTGCTATTTCTTAATGCTTTTCCCATTATAATGTTTATGGGAAACAGAGATAATGTTTTTTAAACAAAAATATTTATTTCTGAAAGTAATGAAATTATGTCAAGAGCAAACACAAAATTTTCTTCCAGTTTTTATGGTTTGGTAAACTAATCAATTTTGATATCTTTTAAACTTTTTTTGGTATAGTATCTATTTTTACTTTTTTCCATAATTTTATTGACAGACAAATAGCAATGAGACAGTTTCAAATCAAATCATTAGGACAGTTTCAATAATTAACACATTGCATACTGTCTTCCTAGTGGTTATTTGCTGTACGAGATGCAGACATGATATCCTATTTACAAATACTATTAGAACAAATCCCTCTATTAAGAGAATGTAACTGTATATCTATCCTAACCATTTTGAATACACAGATACAAAATGGACATTCATCTGTATCCCCTTTTTTGTTTAGTTCCGTCATTTGAATATTATAGCTGTGTTAACTCAGCAAAATATTCTAAGAGTCCAGTAATCCATAATAGTATTGGGTCTTCCGCTTGACTTTTAAACATTTTTAAACTGCCTTTTTTTTTTTTTTTTTCTTTTTTCTTTTTCTTTCTTGGTACCAAGGATCTAACTTGGGACCTTGTGCTTGCCAGACAGGTGCTTATGCCACTGAGCTATGTCCCCCAGCCCTAATCTATCTGCTCTTTTGTGGTGTTGTTAGTTTCTTCCTGGCATATCCTAGACAAAAGAGTATAGTCTGGAAATGCTTACAACATTCTGTAATGAGAAAAACAATTGGTCCTACAACTAGCACCTTGACAAATAACATTACAGCTAGAATCTGCTCTAGGAACTATGAAAATGAAAGTGAACTGGGGGGCCGGGGAGATGGCTCAGTGGAATAAGCACTTCCCTGGCAAGCGCAAGGGTCTGAGTTCAATCCCTGGTTCCACCAAAAAAAAAAAAAAAGTGAACTGAAGCCAGAATGGAAAGCTGAGAACAATACAATGGCAATAAATGCAACCAAGACTATGATGTAGTATGCATTTAGTTGTTACTGAAAGAATACTTATATTACTGTCCACTGAAATACAAAACACATTTCTGAAGGTCAATGCCATAACTTGATAAACATTATTTCTTTTCTTTTCATTTCTTTTCTTTTCTTTTTTTTTTTTTTGCGGTACTGGGGATTGAACTCAGGATCCTGTGCTTGTCTGATAAGCGCTTATTCTACTGAGCTATCTTCCTGGTCCGGATAAACATTATTTCTAACAAAGAACTTTTTTCTTTCCCTAACTAACCTCAAAATTATTTGTGCAAATAATTTTTTTTTTTTTTGGCGGAACCTGGGATTGAACTCAGGCCCATGCGCTTGCCAGGGAAGCGCTTATTCCACTGAGCCATCTTTTCGGCCCTGTGCAAATAATTTTATACAACAACATTACAAAAATAATTTTCCGTAGAACTATGTTATGTTTAGGTTTCATATACTTATGTGATTTTTAGTATTAAATGAGTAGGATCTTAAAAATATATTTCTATCTTGGGTACTCATATCCTAGAACTTTAAAGTTCATAGAATCATAAATAAGGCATTAAAAATTAAAAATATAAGATATGTGCTCTTTTATTTTATTTTTATTTATTTTTTTGCGGAACTGGGGATTGAACTTAGGCCCTTGCGCTTGCCAGGGAAGCACTTATTCCACTGAGCCATCTCCCCGGCCCTGTGTTCCTTTAAAGGTGAGATTCTAAATCTATCAGTCAAATCCATCACATTAATCTCTAATAGTCTGTGTAGTATTTGAAGAGTGAAACAATCAATTACAGTCCTCATTAACATTCTCTCTAAAAAGTAACCTATGTTATATCTCAAAACGTTGTTTTAATCTTACCGATAACATAGATGAGGACCTGAAGCATTTCTTCTATTAATGTATTATATTGCTTAATCAAATCCTGTAAAATTGAAATCAAATAAATTAGCTACGTAAGAACCCAAAACTCCATAAAGCATGCATTTCTGCATCAGACTCATAATCCCTCCAGTCTAGTACTTCCTTTCCGAGCACAGCAATATAAATTATGAGGCCAATAGTTTCTTTTTGGACACCAAATCCAAAAATGTTCACAACACCCTGCACATAAACAATGCCACTCAGCTATACCCCTGGCCCCCACTCAGCTAAAATGATACAAAAATGATGGTACAGCTGCATATTTATTTAATGACAAGGAAACAACCATAGCATTTTGTTAAACCCAGACAGCAGATTTACAAAACAGGAGATACAGAAGGATATGCTTTGCTTTAAAAATAAGATAGCAATACCTTTCGCCCCCTTCTCTTTCATCTCCTTTGGTACTAGGAATTGAACCCCAGATCTTGCACTTCCTAGGTAGGCACCGTTACTACCAAGCTATACCCATGGCCCACTAGCACTCTATCTTCTGAAAGCAGTATTTCATGTGGTATTTTTCCCTTTGGTGATCTATATCGTCTAATTTTTCTGAAGTGAAAAGAACTTGTGTGTATATGTGTGTGTGTATTCACAGTATTTTAAATCATCTCTAAATTACTGACACATAATATGATATAAAAACTATGTACTAGTTTGAGACCAAGAAAAGGAGAGAAATCTGTACATTAGTACAGATAAAATTTTTCATATATATATATATATATTTGTTATTGTTATTGTTTTGTCTATGATAGGTTGAATCTGTGGACATAGAACCAACACATACACAGGGCCAACATAAAGATATAAACTTGAAAACAGTACAATAATATTTCCCTCAGACTAATTTACATGTCACTTGCTCTTGCTCACCTGGTCTTTTGTAGATATGGTCTTAGTAAAAGCATCAGCAAGCTCATACCTCTGAAGTATCAGTAGTAAGAACTTGTTGGGATCCATTAAAGATGCACCAATCTGTGAATGAAGTACATTATCACATTTCTTCTATATTAAACACAGAAACGTTTTTCCTCTAGTAGCACTTAAAACTACAGAGTAAGATTGTAGAAAATAATGTAGCAGCCTCCTCTTATTTCTCTGCCATCCTATTCAGCTTAATGGTGAAAAAAATTCAACTTGAAAATAAACTATGGGAGAAAAAGAACAATCAAGATTTTTGAGTGAGGGTCTTACCATGTGGTTCAGACCAGCTTTAAACTCACTATGTAGCCCAGGCTGGGCTCAAACTCCAGTGATCCTCCTGCCTCAGCCTACTCCCAAGTTCTGTGATTCTAGGCATGCACCATCACAACTGGCAGAATCAAGATATATTATGCACAGGTACAAATCCCCTGTGGTGAATGTGATATATATCTAAAGTGTATCACTAAAATTAATTTTAAAAATAAATTATAATCTTGTCTCATAACAATAAATTTAGAAGGAAGATTAAGACATAAACATGAAAAGTAATTTAAACAAGTACCTGAAGCATGATAATATCTTTATCATACATTTCTTCTCTGCACTTAACATCTTGGTAATAAAATACCTATAAATAAAGGTAGGTAAATGCTAAGACATTTTATTTCAAACAAAATTCTCAACAAAATCTACTCTTAAAAGCTTTCAGTTAGAAACCCCTAGAACCTCATGATAGCAAAAAGTTGTAAATCTATGAATCATTTTAAGGGATTTGTAAGAAGTATGGCATGAAAACACTTGACACTGGGAATGTGACTCAGTGGTAAAATGCCTGCCTAGCACACAATGGCCCAGGTTCCATTGCCAGCAAAAAAACAAACAAACAAAAAACCTTGACATTTAAAAAGTTCTCTACTTTAAAAAAATTTTTTTAATTGCATTTATTTATTTATTTATTGGATATAGGGTCTCACTCACAGTTGTCCTCCTGTCTCAGCCGCCCCCAGTGGTGGGGTTACAAGTACGTGCCACCATGCCCAGTGTCAGTGGCCAGCATGGCATGTGGTACCAGAGATCAAACCTGGGTCCTTGCACTTGTCAGGCAGACGCTTAGACAGCTGAGCTATCTCCCCAGCCAAAAGGCTCTACTTTTATTCTTACGATGTTTAACAAAAAATTTATTTTCTTTAAATTTAAAATACCTTTTTCAATAAAAGTAAATCAATTTCTACATTTTAATTATAATACCATTTTTCTTACAAGTGGTGACTTTATGAGTCTTATTTCCCCATCTTTTAGGGAAAGTACTTCTCTTTATATGCTCTAAAATAGAAGAAAAATTATAAAGTAGCCTTTGATTAAGACAGATAATGTGAAGACTAACGATCTCCAAGTAAGGTATCCCTTAAAAAAGAATTATGTTAATGAGAAACTCCTAATGAAAGAGGAAAAAAAAATAATACAAACAAAAAATATATAAAAATTTTGTGGCACTACTGTTGTTGTGGCAAATGCACTTATTTAATTGAGTCATCATGGAGGCTGCATGCAGAAACAAGCAAGTTTATCAGGGGTCAGGTTGGGCACCCAGCACATGAGCAAGCACGGACACCAAAGGGCAGGCGGGAAGAATAGCAATACAGTTCTAGTTCCAGGTCTAGTGGGTGGGGCCAATGTAGTTTAGCGCTGTTAGAGAAACACGACAAACCATGGGCTTAGTTTGAGACAAAGGAATAACAGTGTTCGACATTTATGACCAAGACCGCTTTGGCAGTATCAGGATAGGCAATTATGACAATTTTTATAAGAGGCAAACTTAAGGAAAAAGAAACTGAAACTAAGATTGTGCTGAGTTTTGGTTTTTTCCCCATTTCACTGGCCTTCGGCTCATCTGTCTACTTAAAACACCATAGTTTCTTTAATCAATTTAAGATAAGCAATAAATAGGATGAAAAGAGAACATTATGTGGTCCTTAAAATTTTCATTCTTAAGAATTTATACAAGAGAATAAAAGTACACACTGAGCAAGACCTAGGGATATGGGATAAAACTGTATAAAACAGAAACAATTTTATGAATGTGAGTAACAGACCTGACCATACCTGGCTAATGAGAGACAACCCGTTTCTTCGCCACATCTCAGCAACTACCTGGGCAACCAACACGAGACAACGCAAAGGATACTCCACTAGCACCTCTACTTGCAAGTCCTGCGGAAACAGATGGAGGTCAATTTCATTATGTCCTGCAGGGCCAAGGTGTAGCTCAGTGATGACACTACATGTTTATTCAGTGGTTTTCTCATCAGTAAAATGGAAGGTCTGAACTGGATGGCTTCCACATTCTTTTTTTTTTTTTGTTTGTGTGTGTGTGTGGTGGAACCGGGGGTTGAACTCAGGCCCTTGCACTTGCCAGGGAAGCACTTATTCCATTGAGCCATCTCCCTGGCCCCGGCTTCCAGATTCTTGTGATTTATATTTCAGTGGGATATATATAGTTGGGTCAGGATATTTTCTTTTCATGTCAACAAAAAAGAGTGTTTAGAAATATGATATAAGCAAATACATGCTTAACTGAGTCACTTACAAAAGGTACAAATTCATGCAGTCTTGAAACAGCACCCAGTCTGCTTAACCGTACATGAAGACCTAAATTTTTTTAAAAAGAAAATGAGAATGCAATTAACTCCAGTCAGTATGTTTATAGTTAATATACCAAACAATGGGATTTAGCCAGGCATGGTAGCACATGCCTGTAATCACAGCACTATGATTACTGAGCCAGGAGGATCACTGTGAATTTGAGGCTCACTCATAAGTGAGTTCAGGGCCAGCCTGCACTACACAGTGAGCCCCTGTCTCAAGAAAAAGAAGAAAAAGAGGAGGAGGAGGAGGAAGGTGAAGGAGAAGAAGAACAGGATGAAGAAGAGGAAAAGGAAGAGGGGGAAGAAGAGGAGGAGGAGGAATAACAACAAAAAAAGACAGACAGGTTATTTAAGTATATATCTACCAGGCTAGTTGTGGAGCTCAGAGGTACAGTGTTTACCTAGTGTCTGTGAGGCCCTGGCTTCAGTCAATGTCCTCTCCCACCCCAAAAGCACATGAACTAAATTTAGAAAGGACAGTCTAAAATGCAAACTTATGACATTTAATTCTGAAACACAGTATTACCAAAACACTTAAAATCCTATATTGTGCAAGGTATATTTATACATTATAAAAAACTAATATACTCCCTCTCCAGATGTTTATTTTGCTCTTGTTATCAAAATAAGTGCAAACTATTCTAAGTATCTTTATTTTTTCAGATTTTATTTTTATTAATACATGTTTGCACTACATAATGACAACTCCTTATGTGGAGTTGGTACACATACAGGTGCATAATATCAGTTTTTTGAGGACTCTCCATATTGATTTCCATAGTGACTATATTAATTTATACTGCCACCAATAGTGCAGAAGTTTCCCCTTTTCCCTGCTGCCTCACCAGTACTTGTTTTTTTGTTTGGTTTTTCTGGCAGAACCGGGGATTGAACTCAGACCCTTGCACTTGCCAGGGAAGCACTTACTCTACTGAGCCCTCTACCTGGCCCCCGTACGTGTTATTATGTGATGTCTTGATAATGACCATTATGGGATATTCTAAGTATTTTTAAAATAAAACTTGAATCAAAATAAAATCACAT